GCATAAAAGTCGATGATCACTTGCTGGGTGTTGTGTTATCAGCTCATTTCTCAACAAGCAAAACTAGGCCGAACTGCGATTTAGGATTAATGTATGAACGTTCTCACTTACCGACAAATCTGGCGAGCTGGGAAATTTTTGTTGAAAGATTTCCGTGGAGCATTTGTAGATGGAATACATCAAGCATGATACGAAGGTGGCGGGAATTTACTTTTTTTACGTACTCCAGTGCTTTGTCGTAGCTCTTCAGAAAATAATCATCCCGAACCTAACTGATACATCCCAGTATTTTAATGTGATAATTTTTTTATACTAATTCCACGGGATCAGGATAGCCGCAATTCTACTCTCACCTCACGTTGCAGGGCAATGTAATAAAGGTTTCACTTGGGCCGAAGTTAATAATAATGAAACACACGTTTCTATATGTTGTTGGACTCTTCCGCACCAGACTGGAGGCTCTTACCACAGAAAAATTACTGCCTGTGACTCAATGGGAGCTACTTAGAATATACTATGATAGTAGTTAGTAGAACAAAAGGTCAGTGAAAGATAACGCATTTTTTTGTTTGTATTATATAAGCAATATATATATATATATATATATACCTATATAAAGTTCTACAAAATTCGCTTGTGAAACTTCTTTTTGCCTAGAGAAAAGGCTATCCATAACAAAGCGAGTTAATCATTGGCCCCATTCCGAAAGCCCCGCAACATGAGGTAATATGGTTTTGCTTAATTTTGTTGTCTTAAAACAGCAATTTAAATAGGATTACTTTTCATGATCTAAATAATCACATAGAGTTGCGCTTCTTATACAGCAATGTACAATCATACACTAGTTAGCACATATATGTTTCTTAAATGACGGTGCATTAGTTTAAAAAATGTTGGCGTTGAGAGATATTAAAATTTACCTGTGCGCACAAAGGCTCAATAAGGCCCATAATGCCTGCCCCCTGAAGTTTTTCAGCAGCGTAACACAAATTATAAATGTACATGGATTCCATTTCGGACGCTGTAACCCCCTGCTGTGAAACTCCGGCCATAATATGTACCTTTATAGAGTGCACAATACCAACATGGATAAAACATTATTGTCAAATTCTTACTGTATTGTCCACGTGTTTATATGTTTATGTTCCGCTAAAAAATATATATAATAACGATCAATTCGACCAGGAAGGCATAGCAGTAGTTCGATAGATACAGTTTTCGAGTTAATGATTCGTACTGAGAATCACATATAGTGTATAGTAATGGTATACAACAATAGACTTTTAAAATATTCTAATAAATTAACTTGTTAATCACAGAGCAGATAGAACGTTGTCCTAGGCAATCGGAGACAAGCGTAAGTAAGAAAACACTCCTTTTTCGAACACTGATTTCCTCCACTAAGACTCGTACTTAATGTATTTAATTTTAGCTTGACAGAGAACTATTGTCATAGTAGACTTGTAGTGGTACATTCGAATCATATCAGATGCACATTTCTCCCATCCGACTACCCTCTGGAGTAGACTATTTGGAAACCTAATTAAAAACAACACATATTAATATTGGTTTCCGTCAAATGTGTGCATTTTAGAAAATTGGCTTTTTACACATGCTCTACAGTGAAGTGTCTGTGAAAAACTTTCAAGATGTTGTTTTCTTTTACCTTTTTACAGTTGAGGGCCTTTGCGTAGCGGATAGTTAACTCAATAGATTTTTTAAAGTCCTCTTGCCGATTAGGCTGGCATGCAAAGCCAGCATCTCCATGACCCTTCCCTATTAACATTAAATAGACACTACCGTTTTATTTCGCTGACTATTCTATTTTTAGTAGAAGGTAGGTTCTTAGATGCGTATGCGCTTTGATGCTTTCTCGTTTCGCCACAGGTTTACCACATTTGTCCATATCGTTAGTAAAATGATATATTCTATTGGCATCCATTTAGCTGAACGGCAATATTCACTCAGCGATTTCGATGTGTAAAAACACACGTTTCGCATTAGAATCAGACATCCATTGTAAGTTAAAGAGAATGGTTACTGGCTCTGACCCGGTTTTTTTCAGCGTAATTAATCGCCTATCAATCGCGCTATCAATCATAACAGTGTTTATCACGCCATGTTGCTTTGCATAGCTAATTAAAACTTTTCGATATGAGGCGAAAGACAATGACAAGCACCTTGAAATGAGTTGATGAGAACTTGCTCGACACCAGCGCTATATTTTGCCCTTACGAGATCCTCAATATTCGAGTCATAAGGAAATTGGCATTCAACGGCACGGAAGCCCCGTCTACCCGCTTCTTCATATCGATCTGGAAGATTGGTCAGCTCTTTGAACATAAGCGAAATGTTCGGGGCAAACTTCAAACCCATCCTTGTGCCGCGAAACAACGACTCCTAGAAATTAAAAGCAACAAAGCAGGTTAACCAAACACAAGTGATAGATAGATAATATAACAATGACTGTGAAATCAGCTATAAATTAAAAGTTGGCTGAATCGCTTCATTCAATATTAGACATCAGCAGTTAAGGGACAAAAACTAGGTGATGGATAACATTTAAGCGAAAGTATTATACTCATTTCTCTAATATTTCGGGTTGTTTTTTTAATGCACGCTCTTTTTATGGTTAAAAAGGTGACACAAAAAAAAACTATTGACTTTCTAATTGCACTTCCACTGCTTTAGGCATTAACCCAAGTTAGATAGTAATCTAAAGAAAACTATAGCTCAGACCAAGTATTCATATGAAATGTATAGTACCTGTCAAGCAAGTGATGTTCCGTATATAAGTTACAATCTTGGAGGCAAAAAGGATCTTTCGGAACACGCTTCCATATCACGAGTAGGTAATTCACATTACAGCTCTACAAATTCGCGAATGAGAGCAGTGACAAGGCGACATTGGCGAAACAACTGGGAGGGGGGTCTCCGCAGCTCTACCATTTGTCGATATGATAAAATTCTATGGGTGGATCCAACTGGCGATTAAAACGCTGGCTTTTCCTATTATTTGTAGCAAAAACGGTGCTTATCATTGTCTAGCTAGGAGTAACTATGGGTAAGAATATTCGCATTAAAGTCATTTGTCACAGGTATAGCCAAACGTCTTGTGGTGGCTTGTAGCGATACCTCCGTTCTAACAAAAAACTTGTCTAAGCAGGCCGGTAGCAACAGTGCTTATTTGTCAGATGTATTGCAATTATGAGAACTAAATAATACCATGTTAATCCTGTAATGAATCCCCGTAGTGACTAAAATAGCCGCTTTGTAGCGGATAGAACTGACCATCTTGAAAACTATAGAAAAACGAGTACAAACAAAAAATCGAAAACTGCCTTAGATTGTGTTAATTGGGTAACAGAAAAAGAAAACATACGTCATGAAGGAAAGTGTTCAAAAGCACCGTCAAAACACAGGGACGCTTAAAAGTCTCTCTGGTTTTTTAGAAGCCAAATGGGCATAAACATCATTTATGCTTTTAGACACAGTGTGGCGGAACGGCAAAATTGGTGTATTATTATACTAGATAACACGTCCGTCAAAATGAATAATGGACTGACAAAGGACCGAAACAATTATCATCAAAATTTTGTTTGACTAGGTTACCCTATTTGTTACCGCATAGCCTCACTTTTAATAGAAAAACATGCGCCAAATAAACATAAAAAACTCAGCAATACAATTAAAAGAAATAGAGAAAGCAAAACACAACCGAAAAACTCTGTAAATATCACGACCAGAACCGTGTCCCTACACAACTGCAATGGCACGTACCCTTACATTACAGTCTCTTTAGCTGATACTCAACGAGATTGCAAATCGATTGTCACCGAAGCTGAAATACCCTTGTCTAGATATCTTTCTGTTTTCACCTATTAATTTAACATAGTATATCTACAAGCAGATTCATTGTTAAGATAGAAGTTGTTTCCTTATTATGTTTATAATACTGATAATTATAATTTCGTGTCACGAATCGGCTGGCAATAATTCGATATTAAAAAAAAAAACGATTTAAACTACAAATCATTTTACTACTGTACAATAAGTCGAACGTTATAAACTTGCGAGCAATTGCGAGTCAAAAGTACCGATGCTCGTACGGACGAAATTCTTTTTGTGAGCTCTATGAAATGGTAAAAGAATGCGATGACAGGACGTACATTGTCGCTGAATGTTGATGCGTATGACTCCATTGTATGAATTTTGTGCTTTTGACAGTTGCTTGACAGTTCCCCTAAATGAGCGGACACGCAGGATTCGGTGTTTTTCACGAATTTTTTACTACTACGATCGGCTGGATTAGAGGCACATACAGGCACTGTGCTACACTTTATGAAAATATGACGCTCACCATGCTTATCAAGCAACCGTCGGTACAACAGGTATATCTGCCCTTGGTAGAAAGTCAATTGTAAAAAGAATTAGCCTTTTCGTGAAGAAGAACATCGCGCTGTCATCAATCTCGGGCAATTTATCGCGTGATAATGCAATGATGCAAGAATGACATTATTACATGTTTCAGCTCTCCATTTTAATGGAGAGTGGTGCTATATCTCTGACGACGATACTTTTCGATTACTAAATTGGAGTCGTTTCTGTTGGAGTACTTTTATTCACGAAGCGTACGGGAATGTGCATTGTCCGAGATCTGTGACTGCAAATTGACGATGGTGTTACTTATGTAAACAAATAGACGACGAGGCTATTATGGGACACCAGCCGATTTACTAGGTATGGTTAAACAAGTATTGTGTTATTATTAAAGTATTGCAAATTATAATGTTGAAATGTACAAATGTAACTACTGCTTGTACAGCAAGGGCGGAACAATTCAGAAAGATTTTAGATGACTTATTTTGCGTTTCACTCGATTCATTCATTCATTCATTCATTCATTCATTTAACGCGTCCATTCTTGTCCGTTATTAATACGCGGTCTAATACCTATCGCTTATGCATAGTAAATAGCTAGATAAAAATCTCAAAAAAAATTGTTCATATTATAAGAGACAAAGGACTATTTAATATTTGGCCTTACACAAACGAATGTTAGGAGAAGATTCGTGCGAAATCGGAGCTCTGTGGCTCACGTTTAGCTTAATACCTCTGAGTGGTAAAAATAACTATTAACCAAGCGAAGTGGTCATTCTATATTCGAAGGTATTCACTAATTGTATAACAAGTAAGAAAGAAATTTAAATTAAAAAAGCTGGGAAGGCCCTACAGTGATACTTTGAAAGTAGTACTTATCCAGTAGTAATACCAGCTGGAAGTCTTTGTGTGTCCCGCACGACCAACACAGCTTTTTTCAAACGATCATTTGTTGGCAAGCTTGCCTTCGAAAATCCTCTCCGAAGGCGTGTTTGACCCTCTTATAGATTTACTCTTCATATGTATTAAAATGTGTAATATTAATACGTAATTTAAATGTTTGGCTACAATTGTTTTTTGAGTACTATATATTTTCATGTTTAGAAAAATAATAATTTAGATAGGCGGTTGGTATGTCGTCTAGTATTGGTGGTCTTGCTCAGATTTACGGCACATTTAGTTAAAGTGATTTGCTATAGCGCTGGTGGTACACATTCTAAAGTGGTTAGATTTACAGCACAACTAAAGGTGTTTCATTGAGAAGATTGGAAATACAAACGTAAATAAAAGACAAACATCACTACTACGTAATGTAAGGACGCTACCTTTTTAATCAGGGATCCATTGCACTATCACGTTTCGAACGACAATGGTTGTGTTAGGCAACATGGAACTGTCTTGGTACTAGCTTAGTGCTTATGTCTAACACTTAGGGACACGTTATAGTGTAGGTTCGAACCCGGACATTTGACAGCCTCATCATAGAACCTGTCGTATGTAACGATGTCTTACAGTAGTATCGAATCTAAAAAAAAAAAAAAACATTAAGATGGAATAGTGCGTAGCGGAATGAAATTAAACGCAACATTATTATCCGATATTTCAAAAGACACCAATTCTTAAACAAGTGAGCAATCCTACAACGTAGGTAGTCGTAATTTTAATTCATGCGTCCGCAGTAGAACGCGCCGCCTCTTTTCAATAGCGCACAGTTCCCAACAAATAATCGGTTTTAGGCGTAATCTAACGATATGTTAGGAAAGCCAACAGAGATAGGGCAACGCTCATGGATTAGAAACCATTGTAAAACATTATAGCGCTTCTCAAATACACTTATGTCACCGTTCCAAATGATTTGTTGGACCCGTCGATCAGTAGAATCCTGCCGCTATGCAGCGGTAGCGGCACCCTTATGCACCGTAAATCATTCGCACATAACGACACAACCCTCATCAGCGTGCAAGACCCCGCGAATATAGCTTACCAACAACAAAATAATCGCTTGTCCTACGATTTACTTGTTATATCACGACGAGTACAGTAGAAGGCGCACAGAACACACCTGGCCTAAACATCTGTTCTCCAGAATGTAGCATGCTGCTGATGTTTTTTGCATTCCTTTTTTGTACCTGAAGCTTTTTTTTACTAACTCACGTGGTCGGAATATCGGTACATGAGCAATACGATGTAATCCTGTACAGTAATATCTATAGGATCTTATGCTGTTGTTTGCCATAGCTTTATAATATTGTAAAGCTCAATGGAATAGACAATGAGCTGTATTTCAAACTCAATGCAATTGGACATCATGTATAATGTTAGTTGCGTAGTTTTTCGCCAATTCATCATTTATAGATGAATAGTATCTCTGATTGAAAATACCGTTGGTATATAAAGAACAAAAAATATCGAAGTATGTGGACTCTGCACAATTTTGGTGGTGAGAAATTACGCTAGTCATCGCGGCTTCAAAATGCAGGTTTGTAGCCCTCAATCTGCCAGAGTATCTTAATTCAGGCGATGCGGCACTTCGCTCGTTAGATGGCCCCTGTTGGCGTATGATAACTTGCAATAGCATCCTTGAGCGCCTTACTTGGGTATACATACCTACACGCGTACACATTTCTGTGTGAGATTTTGGCATCCCCAAGTCTATTTGATGGGTTTAGTAACCTTAAGGTGTGTTATGTTATTATTAGCAAAAGATAGTAGGAGGCCGATCAGCATGATGTATAAAAAATACTCGATATAATCACCGTTGAGTGTTTATAGGCCTTTGACGGAACTTCACGACAAATTAACAAGTATTCGTGGAGCTCTCTGGGACAAGGAGGATATCGTACGGTTTCGCAGGAGTCGGTTGCCACTACTGCTACTGCGGACAGTTAACAGATCAAACGAGTCAACTCTTAAGCTAGTAAGCAACGAAACAAATATTCGAGATACTCACTGCAACATTATGAGGCAAGCTATAGAAGCCCTATAGAAGAAATAGTGAAACTGCAAAACGTTGCAGCATTCGCGCAGTTTTCACTGTGGGCGTTTGGAGCCGTTAGTAAACTAGTGGTGATCAGAGCGAAGACATCCTCTAGGTAGTTATACAGCATAAAATTGAAAGACAGGCAAAGAAGTATACGCATCTCTATACAGGTAGAAAGCTAATAGTTAAAAACACATTTACAGAGGAGAGAGTTAACAGATTCGCGTGACCTAGTGTGACGCGTCAATCCCTATGGAAAAACCTATAAAGCCGTTGAAGTAGGTTTAACTTCTGCCTCAAACTCAAGCTACGTGACCAAAAAGGCAAAGCGGTGGAACAGGCTATCCTAGAAAGGTTCGAAGGCGGTAAGCCTACTTCTAAGGCGTTTGAGAAACCTTTATGAAAATAGTATTCTTTAAACATACAGTTGATCCAATCTAATCAGCGTCGAATATATTCAATGCCCACTAGGCTATTATGGCTACTATGTACACAGCTAATCAGATGGAACTAGTCGCTGGTATAGCACCCTGGCATATAGCAGACAACAAGCTTCATTAGGAACGACCCTTTGAGTCCGGTGATGTTTACGCCGCTTGCTGTAACTCTACATAGCAGTACACAAAGCCTCCATCATGCCGTAAACATCCGGATGATTTTGATGATTACTGTGCAGTAGCAGGTTTCTTTTCCAACATGCATTGGTTACTTTGTTTACATACGTTAAGTAAATCGGTTGTGTAATTAGTCCATGGCTTATGGAGACCATTACACTCCGACTAAATAAGGACAAGAGGTACCTCTAATAAGACACGAATTTACCTGCAGATTACTATACTGTCATTTGTTGTTGTTATGGGCAGGACGCCATGATGATAAGTGTCCGACGATCATCGTATGAATAACATTATTACCAACATTTCAAAACGCAGAAAGGTAATTTGAATCGGATGATCATTTTTCGAGATACTGTAGTAGTAAAATTGAATTATCATAGCGTATTGAAATAGACCATTAATCATATTGCTCGACATAGTATGTGCGAACAAATAAAGTCGCCATCTCTTAAATTAAGGAAATGGAACAGCAGCAGTGAAAAAGCTGTATATCACTCCTTTGCAGGTAAAACTGCAATATTTGAAAAAAATACTTTTTTTTAATGAAAAAAAAAATGCAGACTCTCACAATTGGCACCTAAAGAGGTAATTTGTTTTTGCTGGAGCTGAAACCTATCACTATTTGATGTCCATTCCAAGCTTTTTGTAAACTTCAAAAGATAGTTTTTTTTTTTTTTCGTTCTCTTCGCTACTTGAAACAATGCTTGGTCATAATAGAAATTATCATGCAAAAGATCTAATAGCGTCATAGTTATCTGGAAAGTACTCGTGCGAGTTTGCTTTTTGTTCGTAATATTTGATCGCTTCAACGTTACACGAAAAGTTTTGGTCCATCATACAGATGAAGCTTAGTTGGAAGGTGTATTGAAAGCCATGGCCATTGGCGTGACAGAAACCTGTTATCCTATCACCGCATGATGGGTGGAGACGCATCAGGTACTGGCCGCTTTACTCTTGCCGTAATGTAGAGCTTAGAATAAGTAGAAAGAACGCATAATGAATACTTCTCGCGACCTCAGTTTCAAATTTTCGCGCCATTTCATGTTGCACCATAAAAACAATGAGAACTGGTGACGTCTCCTGGGGCTTATATAAAAATGCCGCCTTATGAAAGAACTCCACACGGTAAGTGTTATCATTTTTTGTTCAATTCGAACATTGTTGTTTTCGTTTCTAGAGGCTAGTGCAATATCAGCCCGTACTCTCCAAATACTGGCAGAAAATTAAAACCTATCCTATCACTCTGGCAATCCGAACTCTTCTTCTGCGGCCGAGTTTCAAAGCCATTTTAGTCCGGATCCATTATCTGCGAACTGTTTATTCTTTACTAGGTCCTGACTTCGACCTGCTCCAGCACGTTCCCTTGTTCATGCGCGTCCGTATTGCGTGTCCGAAAAAGTGACCGTATCGGAACGATGTCTCTACAAAACGAGCACGCCACGGATGTTCTAATCTACATGTCTAAACAAATAGAAGTTGGTCATGTATTTTCATTGAAAGCGCACTGTAAATTATCGAAATACAAAATACCGCACACTAGAGGTGGAGTTTGCTCCCGTTAAACATGGCGTAGAGACCGATTTTTAGCTAAAACGTTTTTAGTTCTCATAATGTATGAGAATGAAATCGGTCAACAGATTACTTCTAATAAGGCAAGCAACAGCGATGGCTAATCTCTACGCTATCGACGCTCTGCAGTTATTGCAAAAAAGATAAATACATGTATTTCTAAATTGAGCGTCGTGACATCGTAACTCTAGGACTTCACAGAAGTTTGAAGCATTCATTATTAAGTATGAATGTGAACTGTGGAAACGGAAGTCCTTAGAATGTTTAGTAGGACATATCATTGATAGATTTATTTACACTGATGTAACTCAGATGTTTGCCATCATAGCCACTAAATTAAGCAAGCTTCCAATGAATTTGGGTACAGGACTGGTTTATCGGGAACTGAGAATATTTTTGACAATGAAAAACATCATTTAATCTACCTCTTTGTTTGCATTCACATTGTTCTTGTTACCAATCGCATGTCACTTGACCAAAACAGCTTTATCAGTAAAACAGAATCGGCAGCGCACGTAGTTTCCTAATCAGCTAATGCCCTTCTTGCGGAATATATAGCATCATTTCTCCAACTACGAATAGCGGTAATAATAATGGTCTAACTAAATATGGGAATAAATATCAGCGTTTTGATTGAAGCCTATTAAAAGTTTCTAAGTTCACGGAGATTATCGAGATTTGTTAACCTCAATAATAAACAATCGCTATACGATTGCTGGCCTTGTCGACTGGATTATGAGAGAAACTCCGCTCCAAAATCGGGGAGACTCACAAATGCAGATCTTAATTCATGGCTTAACGTATAGCATGCACCTTAGATAGTTACTATTTAGCTTACACATTTTTATGAGTTATAAGACCCTGTTATGGGCTTGATACCGAAAAATAGATACATTTAAGGTACAAAGACCTCTTATATATAAGTGAGCTATACTAATATAGGTTGCACTGTGTTACTATGTGACGCTTGTCACTATAATAATAATAATGTTGTTTTGATTAACGACAGTCGACCAATAGAGAAATAAGGCCATCTCTGGTTTTTAAGCTAAAATTTGGAATTTTCACGAAGAAGTCTTCAACGGTCTCAACTCTGATCTGACATGAGTGCCAGTGGACGATAAACACTACGGCAGTCGTACAAAAGCTACGAATTCTAAAACTATTATACATTAGGGTTATAGGATTAAACGGTATGTTATGAATGCTATAATCGGGATGAGTTTTTAAGTTTACTAAGAGATGAAATTACTTAAAGCTTAACCAAAGTCAATCTTTACGATACATTCAGTATCGTTAAGAAAGGACCCAAGCGATACATGGAAAAAGAATGGCACCACTGAAAATGAATATTCCTTAACTAGGGACAATGCTACGATACTTAATCATATTTCAGGCTATTCTTCATGTTCGGTCTGAGGCGCCACCAACGGGTGAAGTCAGTGGCCAAACAGATGTGCATTGCGACTAGCTCTGGCTTTTAAAGAAATTTAATATATTTTATGTGTATTTCAGTGTTTTGACCCTGGAAGTGAGTATGTGAAACTCTTCCTTTTTATGCACATGCTTGCAGTCATAATTCAGACTGAAGTTTTCTTTCTACGCAGATCTCATTACAATTTCCATATGCCATATGCTGCTAGACTTCGGGACAAGGGCTACAAGTAATTACTAAATAGCGAAAATAATTGTTAACCATTACAAAAATAAGTAGAAGTTGTATTTTGAAATCCAGTCGCCAACTTGAAATAGAACTAATAAATGCATTAATAATAGTTTCATTATACAGACAAGCTTTAATTTTTTTTTCTGAGTACGTTTAAGGTGGCTTTCGAATGTGTTTGCCAAAATAGATATATTCGTAAATTAAAAACAAAGCTATTTGTTGTAACTAGATTCTATAAAAAAAAAATAGGATCTCAACAATTCATGCGGCTTCAATATTTATAGGTAAGATATACTTGTCTCAGCGGTGATTCTACCAAGAAGGATGTTATACCACGGATTTTTGAACTAAACGCGTAATAATATTCTGCGATGCAAATCGTCGTTATATTATCATCATATTATCCTAACTTCATTCAGGTATTTGTGAGAAAACAATACTCGTGAGTAGGTCCGTTTTTTTTTATTGGTAATCTCCGTTAGCGAGCATAGGATTTACAAATGAACAAGTTTTAGATGATAAGTAAGGTGAATTAGGATTTCTCAAATGTAGTTCCAAAGCATCGTTGGATTCATTTTAAATGAAAATAAAATTACTTGATGTCACATTTGTGTACATATAAAAACGAATGCTAAAAACTTTTCAACGGATGCTCTGGAGCTGATTTGAATGTGTGTGGCTCGTATTTCGTTGATATTTCCAGTAGATTGAGAAGTAGCGAATCCATAAAATAAAGAAACATGAAAAAAATAATTAAAATTAAATAAAGAGACACCTTTTACATATATCGATATATATCTGTATATGACTTTGTTTTAGCGTCGAAACAAAAAAAAAATAGTTTGAAATGTTTGTTCCTACAATGGCTATTAGTTTGACAAAAGTATAGTTCCTTACTAATCCGTAATAGCTAATTACAGCCCAGACCAACTCAGGGTTGTGCAAAAATCTTTCCGTTTTCAGCTGTCGTAAGCATCGAAAGGCTTTCCGCATCAAATAGGTGGGTACACATACAAGGACACTGACTAAAGTTCACAAAGTGAGACACAGGCAGAATTGTTTAAGTAAAAGATAAAGTGTTTATGATAATTAATAATGTATAGTCACATCAATACAATATACATATAGTGGCTTGAGAAGCGTGCTCATCGCATCGGAATGGAATACGTTATTGGAATGATTAGTTTTGTCGGAGCAGATCATAGCGAAGATGACCTATCACGCGGATCAGTCAGCAGCGCTCTTCAAGTTCTTCTCCGAATTAGGTTTTCATGCAGTGAACTATGTCATTAGGACTAAGGCGGTAAATTCAGGCAGGCGAAGAGGCTAAGAATTGCGTTAAATAAAGCATTTGTAAATGGTATAGTCAATAAAGTTCTTCGGGATCGCGTCTCCGTTAATCTTGGACTGGTTAATTGTTAAGTGATATAGCTGCCCTTGGTATAGATTTGCACAATATTTTTGGCATAAAGCGCGTTATGGGGATTAAGCCAATTCAAATCGTCTTGGCTATTATGTCATTATTTTTTAGTAATTCGGATGTGTTTACGATATCTATGCTTGTAGCTTGTAGAAAGCATGATAACGCATTTATATATAGAATTATATCTTGTGAGGTACGCGCCGCGAGATGTCTAACACAGCATTGCAAGGGCGCGTCCTATCTTCACCGCACTTACTTCAATCAAAAATTATATGTGAGTTTCTTATGAGCAGGCTTAGCATTGGGAACATGGCTGCACAGGAAGAATCGTGGTCCTCAAGCTACACCGGTGCCGGTGGCGAGGAGTCTATACTGATCCTTTTGACACGTTTGAGAAACAGCTTACTACTGGTAGATAAGGGCAAAGAAGCGACGATTTGAAAGCGAGCAGTCCTCCCATGGACAGAACTCACTGCGGGTACGTGCTGTAGGAAGCCATAACGCAACAAAAGCTTTGGATCGCGTTCACGATTGTCTGAACTAAATGGTATGATCGGCAGAGCTCCAAGCGTTTGGGGTTCATCCAGGGAGGCCAGACCATCTTCTTGTGAGGATGATAGACTTTCCCATTTGGTCGCCACCTCAGTGCAATCACTTCCTGAAGATAGTGTTAACTTGTTTCCGTGAGCTAAATAATTCATTTAGGTCTCAAATTTAATGAGTCAATTGCTAACTAAATAATAAAATTATCTAGTGCCAACATTCGGTTATTCTGGAGCAGTGGTTTTTGATGCATAACTGTTAACTTATATGATCGTGTTGCACTTTTACATATGTAAGATTCATAACTATAATATCACACTTGGTTTCTGAAAATAAGTTGGGATAGAACAAATTTTCAAAACGAGGCATCCCTATTTGAAATTACAGAAAAAAAAAATTTTAAAATTGCAATTACAACAATTCAATACGTTAGTTTCTGTCAACATGAATTGCTACTAGTTTTTCTTTTCGTAAGTTTTACTATACGCATACAAAGGTCTATCACGGATGGACTTTTTTTGTCATCTATAATAACAACTTCCTATCGGGCTCGAAGCAGTGACGGCTTTAACTGATGACAACTACTTAGCGAGAATAAAGGATATCTTGTAACGAGCGTTTCGTTCGAACCCAAAAACACCAACGAGTTCGCAAAGTACTTACGTATCGATTTGGACCACGAAAAATCTCTACGAAACGTTGGGAATCTATCATGTGTCCAAGATAATTCTGTCTTTAATTGATCTTTAATAAAACGCACAAAAGCATAATAAAAAATTTACTATCGATAAATGAATTAGCAAGGGTAGTGCCATCCAACCAATGTACCTGTTTACCTATTTCATTTGACGACCAGCTTAGCGCTGTCGTTAAATAACTAGAAATTATTTCTATGCTACAATAGACTGTCATAACTATCGTGTTATAACGTGTCATAATTACCTCCAATAATGGTCGCAGACGTGGCGAAAATGATGACAAGCAGATGTGCAGATTTCCTGGGAGCAAACCGCATCACTGCTGCTTTCCGAGTGACTTCGTAGAGACGACTCAGGAGCCGAACGAACGCGTCCTGCTTCATTTATAGGGCAACATACTTCATAAAGTCTATGGCATCTGTCACAATCGCTGACGTCGTTTGAGCCAATCTACAAATTCTTGAGAAATTTGGCTGACGATACAGAAGCGACCCAAGGTGGAACGGGATGATACTTTCATATATTTTGAGCCTTAGAATACCACAAACTGCAAAATGTCGAAGCATTTGTTGCTGGGGTTGAAAAACAGGCTGATGAACTGTCTCCTAAGAGGCTGATGCATTGATGTTATTTATCTCACTATTCAATGGGGGCGCGCTTGTGCAGAATACCTCATTTGCTTTTCTCTTCATCATAGTTTTATACTCATTAGTACTATTCATTTCACAAAAAGATTTACTCAGCTTCCTATCAATTGACTATGATGTCCATCATTAGTGATTGGTTGGTTCTACGTTGGGTTACGTATGTCGTGAGTACATGTCGGCACGAAAGAACGTTTGTGTGCTTTTTGATAAATTATGCTAGCAAAATGTACTACTAAAGAGTAGATCATTAGCCAGTTTTTTTTAGGTAATAAGACATTTCATCTAACATTACGATAAATGGAAGGATTACGCAATGGTACCGACCTCAGAGAGACTTGCAAGGCTGACCTCAGCTCTCCTTGAACATGTATCCACTTCGAACATAAACTCCTTAGAAAATTAGGCCACTGAATCGATTTATTATAATATAGCACAAAATTGTCGGCCGACTGAAGTGAATTAATAAGCTAATTGTGACGACCCCATGTTTAGTAGGATTGAATTTGAAATATGTGTATCAGTGTGGGACTCTTAGTTGCGTAAGTAACTTTAGACTACCCGATGATCAGGGCTCCGCACGGAACACCTGCATATATACATATTGTAGTATAATCCACGCTTGAACTGTGTACGGTTCAGCTTGCCTCTTCCTGTTTTATAATGATAGGAGTATTTTTAAACGGCTATTGGCAATTATTGAGACGTATGACGCAATGTCTAATCACCGCAACGAAAATGAATACCTGAGCCACATTTAGCACAATTTAAATATTCAACTTCGTCTTCTCCTGTTTTATGAGATTCAAAATATAGAGCATTTAATGTTACTTTCATCGATGGGAAGGATGTTGTTGCGATTACTGATTGCAGTGAAGTAAATTTTCGTGGGTTTGATGGTTTTGTGACTACGCGATTACGAAAAAGCCTCACGGAAGAATAGCGGACTATAATAACCAGATTCGTAGAACACAAACACAAATCGCGGAAAGAGATTGCAGAGTGTATCCTGTGATATAGCGACATTGTAACCCAAACGTGAAAGATAAAATGTCTCTGATATAAGAAAAAAAAATATGTGCAACGTAGCGAAAAGACAGGACCATCCTACTATAAAAAAACGGATTTGTAACGGTTTTTCAATTTTGTCAGAAGGTAGTGGAGATCGGAATTAATGTATTCAGAAGTACTCTCAGGCGTTATATCGAGATAAGTGATTTTACCTGTCGTAAGCCTCCGAAGGAACTTTGTTCAAACTGTAAACAGTAAAAAAAACTGTCAACATGCGCAAGTTCCCTAAATAACTTTAAGGTTGGGCAGTTAAAAACTGAGAAAGTGTCTATCTTTCGAATAGATTTCAGGTCGCATCGACAGTAAGACTCAACGCATTCAAAGGTGTTTCTGCTAAAGATTCCACGAGTTTCATTAGGTTAAATAGACGAACAAAATCATTTCCTGGTGCAGAAGTCCTGTATTTCGTCAACTAATTTATAGAAAAACGACAGTACAGTGGGGTCAAGACAAAAAACGATAATATATCAGATCAAGACGATTCTTCGGGTGCGAGAATGGTTCCTGCATGGGAAGAGTGTGTTAATGTGTAACAGGTCATAACGGCGTATGGCAAACTGTATCTCTGCAATAGTCACGCTAGTGGTGTTGAGGTTCCATGATGGCCTGGAAATGTACTTTACTTGAATCCTATCGAAAACGTTTAGCATTATGATAGGGGCGAGACGGGGTCGAACAGGCGATTACGAAGGTTTTACAGCTCGAGAATACAATGTTCCGAACGCATATTCAGGAGTTCTCCGGGCGTGACGGAGATGCTACGAAAGTGAATTTGGACGATGTCAAGAAGGTGTATTTGGAGGAGGAGCAAGAGGAGGGGAAACGAAGAGCAAGAGGCGGAAGAGGAGGAATTGTAGAAATGATCACCGCCAGCGATAGGAAGACTAAATGCCTTAGTAGGTGCCTTCCTTCCCACAGCGGTATAAGAAGGCTTCCCTAACGATACTGGTGTCCAATAAACTATCATTAGGAAGATCAGTTATTAAAACAACTGCGTGTATATATTTAGTTCAGGTAATGTGTGCAAATATTTAGCTAAGTAATCTTTGATCAAATTCAACATTATCTGAAATTTCCAGGCGGTGTTTTTTTGATCGTGACCAAACTGTGTATAAAATTTTTCGAGATCTATTGTTTTACGAATGGGTAGTAAATCGTTTCACTTTTTTAGCGAAAGCAAACTGATATTTTTAATGGTTTTCATACTTTGTTTTTCGTCCAAAATCTCACGTCAACCGATTCACGCAATTTGGCAATGTGCGCCGTGTTTCATAGTGCCGCTGAGTTCCTCTATGTGCGGTCAGTGTGTTCGATGCTCGTCAGGGTAAAGCTAGATCTAGACGAGGAAGCGACTGAAGAGCGAGCAAAGAGGGGATATCGATGGCAGATTGACAGCACACTACTTTTTTCCAGGATTTTAGCAGTTGTACTCAGGAGAAGCTCGTGGAGGAAGAGTGCTAAGTACAAATTGCACGTAGGTTAGTTCCCAAAGTAAAAGAAGCAAAGTTTTGACCTATTTTCTTTAGATCCTCAGAGGGACTTTCACGCGGCTGGAGGCTAGCTTCGCATGTAATGCCGTGCTTAGAAGTCGACTTCGACATGTTATTACAACAAACCCTATTCACCGGCACGACTGCCGATTCCGTTCATATGTGATTGTTACGACGATAGAGCCAACCAGCGAAAAAGTAAGGTCATTCATGGTGTCCGATGTAGCTGATTTCACACATACATATAGCTATAGCTCTATTTAGTTTATATCGTAATTGTTGTTTATTGCAGAAACGCTTTACCGCGCGTCAAGCGTAACTGGCTAAACCCATTAAAACTAATGACAACTAGTAAGGGCAAGTGGTTACTGTATTGATTATACTATTTAATTAGCATTTAGGGGCTACAGAATAGGGCTATCTTTATTAGTAGGTTTACCTATTTATGATAATAGCCCACAAATTAAATGACAAAATCTCTGACAGGACTAGCAATGACTGACTGTTGATAAAGGGTTATAGCTTGTGAATTGTCACTTCGACGCAAATACATTATTACCCTTTACTCAATGCAAGGCGGCCCGGTACTTCTAACCCACTAGTTCAATAATTTAATTTTAATTTTATTTTTTAATTCTTAATACGTACTTGTTGGTCTTTAGTTGATGTCCAGAAACTTAGGACATTTGTGCTTTGTTAACGAGTCATTTCGAAACCTTGCATAGCAGCAATTTGAAACGGTGTGAGTATCGAGAGCAGATGTGATACCTATCAAGCAGGACCTATCAAATATGGCTACATTTGGAACTGAATTGTGCATGGGTCAGCATCGGCTCAATGCTAATTCGGCCATGGCTGGTGTCCATGTCCATTGAGATGGTCGTTGATAAACTTTAATAGTAACTGCCGTTTGCAACTATTTCAATACTAGAAATAGCAGCTGTTGAAAGCAATTTGCTTTTGTACATGTCACAAGGTCCAGACTAGAATCTAGGTCTCATCTAGACTAGAACACGGCGTCATCGTTTCGGCCAGTAGATACAGAAGTTGAGTAAAAACATCTTGTTCCCCTTTGTCGCGTCATAGGGCGGTGGTCATCTGCTCGTTTGTTGCTTTTCTGCCAACACGTCTTTCTCGTAAACTTTTCGTCAAATAATTTAGAGATATATATAATTATTTTCTATATGAAGATAAAATAAGACTAGCTCCTTATTTAAATGCACCTTATTTATATCGCTTCCGGACAATGGTATTGCGCGTCGAGCGTATTAGATCAATACACAACGCTATATCGCTATTAGATTTATTCATGTAACCGTTCGCGCATCCGGAGATTATTTGAATACTTTTTTTCCGCTACCCACTAGAACTATTGAGGATCTACAACGGAGAACGCTGAAATCGACGAGTATTTTTATTTGTTTGTTGTGTCAATTTGATGCTCTTTTTGAAGCTATCAGTGGGAATGCACCGTGACAAACTTGTCGAACCAGCAAGGTGGAAGGAAAGGCCTGACCTTAACTCTCTTTGCCCTTCATTTTCATTATTTTCCGCGCTGGCTTTGAAATAAAAGTTCGAATATAGGGGCCATTATGGAATTTACGTTTATGTAAAACATTACGTACAGCGTAAAGAAAAACCTGGGCGTTATTTTGTCAAAATGATTATCCAATGTAAATATGTTATGTGGACGCGTATTCAATAAATATGTGTGTAATGGAACCCATTTGATTCCATTGTTCGTGCAGTACCGCTTAAATGTATCCTCGAAATATACTGGACATATGAGTTGTACCATAAACTGGTTGTAGACAAAAGACTAACTAATGGTTTATTTGTACTCGTTTTGAAAAAGCTGCGTCAGCATCGATGAACCTATCAAAAATAAACAAGTGAGAGCATAGACGGCCAAGCGCCAAATCAAGTTAATGACAGCTAGCTAGCGCACCGCAATAATTACCCACCACCGCTTGGCACTTAGATAAGCGTATGAACAGTAAGCAAATCCAGGGACGGGATCCTGCTACCGAAGGCTCACAGTAAGAAAGATCAAGATCGTTGTCCTTCGCCAAACATTCGATCTTTAAGCCGTTATAGTTTTACTTATCTTCAGTGTGTCACCCAGGTTAGATTTGACGAGGTAATGTAAGCGCTATGACACGGTAAAATTAAAAAGTGCAAAATATCTACAATTTCGTGGTTTGGAAGCTTACATTTACAGTGGGAAATATAAAAGTGTTTTAAGTATGCGTATTAAAATGAAAATGATAAAAGAGTAATTGGCCGACTTATTTTAATTATTTTGGCCGACTTCCGGTTTAGGGTGCCTTACAACCTTCGATTACAGTCTTTCTGAATTTCGCGACAAGTAC